CTCTCTCTCTCTCTCTCTCTCTCTCTCTCTCTCTCTCTCTCTCTCTCTCTCTCTCTCTCTCTCTCTCTCTCAGCATCTTTAAACAATTAGGATTTTATTATAAAAAAGAGAGAAGAAACTCAGGGTTTTAGTTTTGGTAAATATCAAAAGAGAAGAACGACTGCAATTGCTACAGAAACAATGAACAAAGATAAACCAATAAATTCCCTAAACATAACTTTTTGATGGATAACTAACAAGTAACAAAAAACTTGCATTAAAAGAAGCCCAATTTCACTGTTTTTTCTTTTTTGAATTCGTTAAATTCACTAAAGTTTCATCGAGTGCAACATTTGTCATCTCATTCTGAAACTTTTCATGGAAACTAAAGAGAATCCAGATACTTGTACAGTACACTAATGCGGCTATTGTCAGCCGTATTTCCTTACATATCATTAATTTCCGAAACAAAGTAATAATACAAAGAAGCAATTACGAAGATTCATGTGAATTTACCACTTCATGTGAACACTGAATAGAGAGAAAGAGAGCCATATCCCATAAAAAACCATGAAAGGAAGAGATAGCTCGAGAGTTGAAGAGTCATATGAATTTACCTCTTGATGAGAACAATGGGGAGAGAGGGACAACTGCCATGAAAAAGTGGGAAAGGAAGAGAAAGCTAAAGAGTTTAAGTTGTATGAATTACCTCTTGATGTGAACATTGTAGAGAGCGAGAGAAACATAAGAGAGAGAGAGAAGAGAAGAAAGAGAGAGCGAGAGAGAGAGAGAGAGATTTCCTGAAACTGGATTAGATTTAGGAAAATCAGTCTCAGTAGCAAGGAAATATTGGGATGAGTTTGGAACAAAGGAAAGTGGAACCACCGGGTACAAGGAATTCGTATACCACCGGTCTCTTACCCTTTCGATTTGATGGACGGCTGAGATGGTTTATAGTGTCACGTGTACTGTTTTATTTTTAATTTTGGACAGGGTTTATATTGTAGAAAGCGGGCTTGGCGGTAAATATTTTTTTGGAAAAATTACAAAAAACCCTTTCAAAATATTATCTATGCAACTTACATTCAAACCTTTTCTCTTGCCTTTTTTTCTACAATAAACTTTCTAGACAAAAGTCTCCCCAAAGTAAAAAGTTTCAATTTTTATTCGTAATTATCCTTCCCATACAAAAAAATCTTTTTGGTGAGACTTGACCTCTCATAAGTTCTACTGTCGAAGCACCCTTTGCCATTGTCGGAGAGCTACCGACTGGAGCGCTACCGCCGAAACGCCCTTTGCTACTGCCGAAGCATTGTGTCTCACTGCCGGAGAGAGAGGCGTGTGTAATAGTATTTAAGGGTAGTTTAGTCTTGTTTTTTTATTTTTTTTGGATTGGTTATTTACATAGAAAGTTTGTTTTAGAGAAAAAACTGAGAGAAAATATTAGGTTGGGAGTAAGTTTAGTGTAGTTTTGGGGTTTTTTTTGTAATTTTCCTTATATTTTTTAAGGGTGCAGTTTCCATACAGAAGCCTCCGTAGGTGTAGAAGTATGGTGCCCTTCAAATTTTATCATGGTGTATAATTTTGATGTAAAATATTATTATGATTATCTCAAAATCTATTTTTATATCTAATTATACAATTTTAAATTTCAAAAATACTTAAAATCAAGTAGATCTATAGATATATGAAAATCTTGAAAATGGACGGTGTAGATAATATGTTGGAAAATGCACCATTTCTGAGACTTAAAATCTTTTTATTTTTCATAGTCATACATCTCGATGTCTAGATAATCAATCAAAGAGTTTTTCAAAATAAAAACTACTTTTTCTGATGGATTTTTTAGGGGGATCCGTAGTTCTACATTATAAGGTAGCATCCTTAAATAAACTTTTTCCATTTTTTAAATATAATTTGATCCTAATTTCTAGACAATATATAATTTTTAACATGGAGATACGGAATATAAAAAAAATAAAATTGAAAACTATAATTAATAATTATATTTAAAAAATATTTGGGCCGTTAGTTACACTTGTTTTTAGATGGACCACCTATTTGCATCTATCTTAAAGATAGATGCTTTATACCTCTAGACCACATATTGTAGAAATGCCATCTAGTCCGCATGAAACAATTTTCCTTTAATTTTCTTTAGACAAATTGACATCAATTTGGGGGCGCGCCATTCACAACTAAAACATATAAGATATACGTTGGACTAAATTAAATGAACAAATTACTCTTGAGAGTTCCGAGTGTAATTTAGTCAATTTATTTTTCAATAAATAATTTTTAATACCTTTTTAGGTGTGCTACTACGAGTAGATAGAATGCCCAAATTTCATGTATAATGATTTGAAAAAAAATAAAAAATAAAATACTTTTGAATGGGTTGACCAAGATCAAATGATCATAGGCTCACTTATGGTATTACGAGTGAAGTTGTCTTAACCTATTTGAATCTTTTGGCGGGAAGAGGGCTGGCATATATGAGTTTTATGTACCTGGTTTCGATCATAATGTTATGATTAAATACTGTTCTATTTTTATTTTTATGAAAAATCATATTGACACAAAACTTAGGGTGTGCCATCGTCTCGTAGGATCACACCTAAAAAACAAAATATTTTGTATGAAATAAAATAACCAAATTACCTCTAAAAAATGAATAATTTAGTCATTTTATTTTTTACAATATATTTTTAATATTTTTTCAGTGGGAAGCCCTATGGTCAACATTAATCACATCTGGGTGAGCATCCTCTTAGGTATAAAATCAACAACTGAAGAGCCATCTAGCATAATCCATGTCATTGGTTGTGCATGCAGTTCATCTGATGCAAACAAAAGTCGGTTAAGGAATTTCAAAGCTGCAGGTCATCATCTGAAAGGTGAATGCCATGCAATTGGCAAGTAGAGCCCAATCTAATTCAATCTGCTCGACTTGGGCCTCGTAATCTTTATTGCAAGTAAGAGCCTGAATATTGAATAACATTTAGTGTTCGTAAAATCGAATCGAAACGGTTAACCGGATATGAGGCCAAAAGCGGTTTAACCGGCCTAACCAATAAACCGGACAATTTCACCTTTCTAACTGAGAAAATCTTGGACGGTCAAAAAATTGTTGAAAAAAAAATAAAAATGATATACAAAAATCTACTAAAATATGAAAAACATGTAAAGCGTGATTAAAACAAAATGCATTCAAATGAAGTTGAAAATTAATTGAAAAATTTGATTTTAAAGAATAGATTTGTGCTTAGGGGTATTTTTAAATTTTTTAAAAAAAGATGAGAAGATATAAAAAGTGAGTATCAATTACCAAAATGATTTTTAATATTTACCATAATGTAAAAATATTAAAAAATGTATTACAAACCAAATTCTTTATTTTTGAGATTTTATTTATATTTTTTTGAATTTTTTTTTTTAAATACTAGCTCAACACCACAACCACTCGAAACCAGAACCAGCTAAAGATTGGTTCCAATCTAACTAGGTGGTTACCGGTTAGATCACCTGTTTGTTCTAACATTGATAATATTAATAGCAACATTGGTAACATTAATAGCACCGGCCCTATGGGAAGACGACGACGATGATAAATAGCCACCAAAAGCAAAACAAGTACATTGTGTTCTAGGGTTCAATGGATTTAGCAACCACCTGCAGCATTTTCAAACAAGCTAGGTTCCCAAATGGATCACAAACATTGTTGTAGAACCATTCCGATCTAGTGTGTTCAAAAAATAGAATGAGTAGCAATTAATCATCCATCCAAACTAGTTCTCAATAATTTGCTGCTTCGAATGAGCTGTTTAGGTAACTTCTGTTTGGGTAATTGAAAATCTATAACGTGACAATAGATTACAAGGAAATATGGCATTTTTATTGTTTGGATAGAAAAAGAAATAAAAAGCAATATTTCTTCCAAAAATCAAAAAATCCGGTGAAAAATCTATTATAGGAGTGAGAGGTAATTTTGAAAAATGTATCACTGTCCGTTTTTGCCTACACTATTCTTGATTAGAAAAAATCTTATTCGATATAAATAAGCCGTCTTTAATAGCTAGTATAGGTGATCCCTTCCTTCTTAATCATCACCTCAGCTGAAGGCATAAGCTATCATATAAAAATAAAAAAAATAAAAATAAAAATCAGTAATCAATGATAAATGATAAATTATAGAACACAATCACAATAAAAATTTTTACACAACATAATCCTCATAAGATATTACTAAAATCTCAATTGAAATAACATATCTCTTTAGTCTCCTCAAATACCTCAAAATTTTATATTGAGGTTACAAAATTTTATACTGCAATTACAAAACCTTCTAGTTTCCTAATCAAACTTCTTCTCATTTTTTAACTCGTACCATAGAAATTTTGAATTTAGTATCATAAATTTATTGTTTATTTGAAATTATATAAAGAGACATTTGAAAGGCTTCTATTATAAATAAATAAAAAATAAAGCTTATCATAATAAAATCATGTTATTCCAATCATATTGTTCCAATGACTTATCATGTTAAAATCAATGTCATGTAAAAAGACATGTGATTTCATGTAAGTGCCAAAGGCATTTAAAATAAATAAGAAATGGTATCATGACTGTAAAATGGTACAAATTATTATTAAAAAATCTTTTTGAAATAGTGATGATGTTATTATTAGAAATCTTTTAGAATGGTGTGATGATGATTTTAATTCTATATTTTAGTGGAATTTTGTAACAAAAAGAAAGAAATGATAATTCTACATTTTAGTAGAATTTTGTAACAAAAAAGAAAGAAATGAAAGTTTATAAGCATGTGCTGATAAAATGTTGGTAATGTATTTTCTATATTTCTTCCAGACATAGCCAAACAATAACAATGTATTTTTCAGGTTGCATCTAAATACTACCCAAATGGTAACAATCCATTTACCAATTATGTATTACGGCCAATAATATATTTCACAGACAATATATTTCCAGGTATCCAAACGGCCCCTAATTGTTCATCTCCAGTATTTTGTTTAAAGCCCAATCTGATAATCAAAAAAATCCTTATGAATGGAATGTGGAGAACTCTAAAAGTCCAAAATATGGATATCACCAATGAGTCTTTTGAGAATTTAGAATTAGTTTATGATATAGCCCCAAAATTTGAATTGTAACAACTTATATGCCCATTCAATGTTTTGAAACCAGGAATCGGGTTTTGTATCCCTCCAATGAACTGATCTTAATAGGCCAAATCGAGAAACATAATAACAAAATATTAGGAGTGGAGATTGGAATTGCCATTGGGAAACCGTGTCTTTTGCCTTTTTTCCAACCTCGTGTTAACAAAGTTACTGCAAGAATCTCTTACATATGTGGATGGTTTCAACTTTCAACAACATCCTACGATTCATCCTGCTCCATGCCCAATTTTTTTGATCTGAACGCCTGTTTTGAAACAGCATCTATTATATAAACATTGTCAGATCTTACAAAATTTAAGTAAGGAAGAGAAACATAAATAAACTAACTTAAAGTACACAATTTTGATACAATTTTAGCTCATTTCAAGTTGACACAATATCTCTCAAGGCTCAAAAAAGATAAAGTGTAGGCCCAAAAGGACATGTTGGAAGTAGTGAGAAAATATATGGAGACTTACAGCTTCACTGAGGGCTTGGCACTTAATAGATTAGAATGGCGGACCGGTATCCATGTAGTTGACCCCAATTAATTGAAAAAAAACTATGATGATGATGATGACATAGTATCTCTCAGAGCACGACCTTTAGTTTCTAGAGGGAAGAATATTACAGCAAGACCTGAGAAAAATATCACAATTTCGAACAAGATGACTGCTAATGTTTGATGGCAACTATGCACCAAACCAACTGCAATCAGTGGACACACAATCCCTCCAATTCTTCCCACAGAACTCGCGGTTCCAAAACCTGTAGTCCTTGCTGAGGTTGGGTATACCTGTAAAAATCAAACAACACATATCGACATTTAATATACATATGAGGAGTGAGAGAGAGAGCGACCTAACAAAAATTTGCCAACATATTTGGATAAAAAATGAAAGTTTTTCTACCATATCACAACAGAAACAGGTGGGATAAAGGACCCATTCGCCATCATCATAAATGAACAGATGTAACTGAAATATTTCATGAAGCAAAACCTACCGAATGAATATATATCACTCATACAGCAAAATATCACTCATACAGCAAAAGGGAAACCACTTTCACATAACAATTAAATAAACCTCGAAAAAGTATCAAAGCTTCTGAATACCAACCTCTGGAGCATAGATGTACACAATTGTAAAAGTTCCAGTAATGCATATGCGAGCCCCAAAGAGAAGAATTGTGGTCAATATATCAGGCTGTGAAACTACTAAAGGTACAAGAAAAATGCAACACAAGAAAAACAAGGCAGACATGGAAATCTTGCGGCCAACCCTGTCCACCATCACTGCCGATAACAAAAGCCCTGGAATCTCTGCAAAATTAAAAGAGAAAGGGAATCAGATCTTTGACATATAGTTCAATAAAAAATTAATACAATGCCAAATTCACTGGTTAAATAAGGCAGTGTGCCGAGACTCGCCTCGGCTAGTAGATCGGCCCCTAGCCGAGTCCAGTACAGGTCTTTTAGCCCTAATACAATAAAAGATAAAACAAAAACTTTGCAAAAATAGAAAACTTGTAGTAAAAGCAATTTGAAACCTTTAAAAAGTTGAAACGAGCTTAAAAAAGTAGAAAAAAATGGATTTAAAAGAAATACCAATTTACAATTTGGGACATTTTAAAAAATTCCAAAAAGGAAGAAAATATAAAAATATTGATATTGGTAAAAAGCACTCACCAATCTTCGCCAATACATCCAAATCATATACAAAAAGATTGTAAAACAATCCGACATTTTTTTAATTTTTTCATAAATTTATTATTATTATTTTATATCCCTTAGTTATACACCCAACTCGTCGAAACTTGGTTTCACGCAAGTCACAGCACACAGAATTAAGGCATGAGAGTTGGTTTAGTCCTCCGCCAAACCAACTTGGTAAGACTTGACCAAATAATGTTTTTGGGAAAGACTTATCAAATCATCATCATAGACTTTTCCCAATTAATTGGAGTCGGCTATACGAATATTGATCAGCCATTCTACTCTATTAAAGCTCATATCCTTAGTGAGGCCATAACTCCCCATATCTTTTTGGACTACTTCCAACCAAGCCCTTTTGGGCATAACCCTTGCTCTTTTTAGTTCTTCCACTTGAACTAACTCGCACCTCCTAACAGGTGTTGTACTTGGTTGGCGCCACACATGGTCAGCCCACATAAATCTACTCTCTGATCTTATCGCCTATTGGAACAAAGACTTATCAAATGAATTAATAAAGTAAGGGCTAGTTAGGAACTTGTTGTCTATCACTAATAATTCACCGTTTCAATAAAATCAATCCTAATAATGATTATTTATTGTTTGCCGGTGTCCATCATAAAGTTATCTGAGATAAACTCATAGGCAGTTTTGTGCACAAGTTTATCCTATTGAAAAGTTGTTCTTACTTTATTCAAAGCAATTTATTGAAAATCACATGCCAGAAATAGCTAAAAAATAGCTGAAAATCACTGAAAAGGTTAAATAATTAAATAATATTATACATAATACAAGATACATACCAAACAAATAACAAAGAAATATTATCCAGAGAGTATTAATTTTAGCTATGATAGTCTATTCCAGATAAATTTAATGGTCATCCAACCAGGCCCTGAGACTCAATCATAATCTTTGAAAAAAATAAAATAAAGGACCGAGCTAGAGACCACAACAAGTCCACTTCAGTGAGTCCTGAGTCATTTTCCTAAGGTTTCCAGATGAGGGCAAGTATACTATAATCTAATGGACCATGGAAAACCAGTCAATAGGGGTAATCAGTATCTAGTAAATGACGGATGGCAATGGCGATGAAGTGGAATCTTAATAAAAAAAAAGAAGAAAGGCGATGGAGTGAAACACATAATCAAGCCATGTACTGTTCTGGGGATTTCCCCACTCCCTCCACCTTCCATCATGTCAGCGGAGAGAAAACCCGATCAGACTATGGTTTCCGTATTCCATTGGATTGTAGACTAATAGTTGCTGTCCCTTCAAGTAATGCAAATTTCGAAAGAGTAATCCATGGCATCTCAGCATAGAAATAGAGTATAATAAATATAAAATTACCTGCACAACTTGTAATAAGAACATTCCTGTAAAGATTAACATCTGCAGTGACCTTTGATTGCAATTTTGTAGATGTGCATGCCCTGTTCTGATTGCTTAACTCAGATGTTAGCAAAACGAGGCCATAATAGGAAAATGCATTTCCAAAGAAGACCACCCAAAGCAGGAGTGTCGATCTGATTAATTTTGGTGAGAAAAGCATAAAAAAGGAAGCAAAGGCCCCCATTTTAGCCACTATTCGCTTTGTGACTCTGGACTCTGGTCTCGCAGCAGGGAGAAAGTGTGAGTCTTCCATTGGCAAGCATTTATCTTCAAGATCATCAGACTTAAGTGTGCCATGTGGCAGGGGCTTTTCATTCATTCGAGAAATTTTCTCTAAGATCTGAAGTGAGTCATTTGTTCTTCCCTTGAGACAAAGAAATCTTGGGGATTCTGGTACAACTGTGTAAAATAAAAGGAGAACAAGTGAAGGTATTGAAGACAATGCAAGAAGCCACCTCCAGCCCAATGTCGGCATGACAGCCTGCATTGAGAAACAAGATATAATGTTAAATGGTTGTCATGGCCAAGTTTGTGTGAATTAACAATTCATTTCCTGGAAAAGCTTTTCCTCTCATCAAGTTTTAGTAGCCCAATTATAAGAAGTTCATCTCCAATTTGAAGCAGTGATAAAAAAGCGGGTGACTTGGGGGCTTGGACAATTGGGAACAACAGGATGCCAGATCCGGATGAAAGACACTGAAACTCGAGCGAGTCTCCCGGACCCTCTATGTATTTTTCCTAGAGACTTGACTGAGTCGGTGACTCGGCTCAGGACTCCGTCGAGTCCAAGCCCATTCCCAGGCCTCTCTTCATTGATTTGAAGTTTCAAAGTTCAACAAGGATCGAAATATCATATTACAAATATTTTCCCAAACCACATGCACACCATTGGTATCTTAAAATGTCATGAGAGCTACAAAAGTTAAGACATTTCAGTCCCACTTCTGGGTAGCATGACATAGCAACCAAATTTGAGGGGGAAAATGTTAGCAAAACTGTTGATAATGCAGTCATACCCATGCAAGAGACGCTTCCAATATTGTGCCAAGGGTCCAGAAACCTGAAAAGACAACCATCCAGGTGCCCCTGTTTGGAGCAGGAACAAACTCCAAAAACCATGATGAAAGCACCGGACCACCTCCCAATCCAACTCCAACCACACAGCGAATAATAATCAATGAGACGTAATTCGGGGAAAATGAACTTAGAAGACCAGCCACACCTGTAACTAGAGCCGTAGCAAAAAATCCCGCCCTAAAAGATAAACCAAAACATATAAAAATGGATCATTGAGTGAGTCAAACAAAGTATACTTGATATTGTTCTGCATCAAAATAACTACAAAAGAAACGGAGCAACAAAGCTCTATATTATGCTGTAATATGCTCTCAATCCAATTTAGAACAAATACGATTGAGCATTAACTTTTAGCTGCCAGCAATGACAAAACACAAACAACGGACAAAAGTAGCCACATTGAAAAAAAATATGATTCTCTACAAAGAAAAAGCAGAAGAACAAATTAACATCATTCATTGAAAGGATTCTGTGGCCTAGCTTAGTTACAATTAGGAATAAAAACACTCACGGTACAAATGCACTACTCCTGAAGTACTATTGAGTGTAGGCTCCACTACACACCTTAACTCAAATGTGGGCCTAATGTCAGTATATTGAGCTCTTATTGCATGATTCTTCAACCATCAGAGTATCTTCAAGTACAAGCATTGCAATCACATCAAACAAGTACAAATAACTGATGCCTTTGAACCAAGTTCATGTCAAGTGGAATAATCTTATATTCAAGCAAACAAGATCAAATTGAATTCAGATAACCAAGGACGACCAAAACAAAGTGCAAAACATAAAATCAAAACAACATCTACCTTCGTCCATAGTTATCAGATACAATGCCCCAAGTGTAGGCCCCAAATAGCATGCCAACGAAAACCACACTCGTGATCATGCTTTCTTCACGAGAAGAAAGGTTCCACTCTAACTGTACTGCTGGTCCTACAAAAGAGAGAAGCATCACTTCCATGGCCTCTGCTATCCAGGCCATTCCAGCATAAGCAAGCATGAGGCCTTGGAATTTCCCAAACCCAAGTGATAAAAGTGCCTCGTCCACTGAATATTTTGGGGTGCCATCTCCCATCTTCATGTACAAAACAAACAAGATGAGAAACCAACATCAAAACACTCCTTTTAACATCTCATACACAACATTCAATTCTCCATAAGGAAGGACTTCACGTTATAGAATAGACATAGCATGCTCTTAAACAACGCAAAAAATATTAACAATAAATAAATTGATTACAACAAATTTTCTCATTGGCAGTAATTGACGGCTCTGCTTGAGGATTCCCTTGACCCCCAATTCAATGATGGTAAGGGGAAGTGCACACCATTTTCAGGCGTGCAAAAACTCCACATGATCACGTCCCTCATAGTGATGTACAATTGACATAAAGACAAAATCCAGTTTCTTGACAAGGACTTTTCTATTTCCGAGGTTTCAAACCACATCGAATAACTTGAGTTTCAAACTATGAAACATGAATTGATTTATATCATTTAAAAATAAACTCAAACAAGTATGTAATATTGTGGAATGTGATCAACAAGCATGAGACACAAGGACTACCACTGTGATGCACAGCTCCAAATATGCCAAGCTGTTAATTGGTGCAACATGACGTCAAGATTAAAATTTTATTCAAATTCAAACAACTTTGGCTTATGGCACCTTTTATTAAGTTTGCAGTCCAAAATAAGCCCAAATTTCTAATTTTTATTTCCTCAATACTGTATTCTTCATCAAATTATTGATGCTATTCAGTCCAATCAGAAATTTTGAATGCAGGTACCATCCCACACCATTCTAGATAACTTACCAATACAACATGTCATATTAACTCTGTTCAAAAGAGAAAAGATCAAAGGAAACAAAAGCCTAAGAGTGATTTCATTCGAATAGCTAGAAAAACCGAACATAGCATTAAGGAATACATGAGCCATAAAACCAGTCAAGTACGTCTGAATGTTCTTGATGTATATCTCGCGAGTGACACCAAAGGGACCGCAACATAGGATTGTGGATCCTCTGAAGCCCTATATGTCCACCAAAAGAGAATGTCAATTTCCACAGAGCAATCATAAATTAATATCCCCTTATGATTCTATGTAGTCTGAAATTCCAATGGATCAAATAAACATAAACAATTAAACTTGCTCTTCATTTTAAATAAAAAAAAAAAAATGGAGACACGAATATCCCGTCGAATTGATAAGCCTCTCTGTGTATAAATACAATAGCAAATGCTAGGAAAAACTGTATAGACATAAAAACCTATCCTTGCAAGTTTATGAGTGGCTAGCCTAAATATTTTAGATGACAATCAATTACCACCTAAAAATTTTTACATAATTTATTTCGAAAAAATCAGACGCAATATTCAACCTAATAAGATATATGAATCTCAGTACCATACGAAATAAAAAATTATAAGATGGGGAAAATAAAAAAACAAAAAATGAAAAGCTATAAAGTGGAGGCAAGAGAACAAAAGATGCTGATATTAAAATTTTAAACAAACAGCAAGGAGAATTTAACAAAGCCATAATACTGAAATAAATAACAATTAGGGAAATTTCCAAATGAAAACAACCTAAATATGCAGGAAATTTAAATATGAGCAGATTAATAAGTACAATGACATAATTGAAAGCAAAAGAATTAAGGAATTATTTTCTGCTATTCATGTAAAAACTTAAATTATAATACATTGAAATTTGTGATTTCTTTCAGAAACTTTTTGATGCCCGAATTACGTATAACATGACTTCATTCTTACAAGTAAATTACGAAGATATAGAGACTTTAGTGGCTTATGAAATCACTCAGGAACTCTCTGCAAAAATACCACACAAATTACCTACACAAACACAAAATTAATCCATCACAGTAATTAAACTTTCAGCAAGAGGAAATACAAAAAAAAAAAAAAACCCAAAACTACAAATTAATCCAGGAAACACACAAACTAAAACTGAGTATTAGAGAACCTCCGTCATAATTTCATAACTCATGTAAATTGAGGTTTAGATATAGAAAGATGGAAGCAGATGGGGTTAATTAACTCACTTTGAGCTATGAAGCTGGATTTAACGACTTGGGGGCAAAGCAATTTTGATGAAGAAAGAGAAAGGAAAAGTTCAGGGCTTGTGAGCTCTGAAACAAGAGGGTGAAGGGTCAAAGTTTGTGTTGACAGGCTCTTCATTTCCAACATTATCAGAGAGCGCGTGGAGAGCGGTTCCAAATTTCAGGGGTTTTTTACAAACAAAAATCGAAAAAAACAAAGAGAATATTATAGCCACCGGATTTTCTAGTAATCCACTAAATTTCAAGTTTTGGTGCATTACTAAAAGATTAGGTGAACAAAGTAGTCTTAATTAAAACAAGTAAAGAAGACGACGTCGGTTTAGGACCCGCATTTGTCATCTATAACCTTTTTTTAGGTTGTGTATCTCAGCATCTTTAGACTAAGAAAAGTTGGATTGAAGTTGACGTTGAGCAAAGTTCTTAAATTTCATATTGTTTATCTCTTTTCTTTCTAGTTTTAACGGGTAATTTCGAGTTTTTAATAGCATCTTTTATCGAGATTTAGTGGTGTATTTTACTTTAAGTTTAACATTAAAAAAACTTTATATAAGGTTGCAACCTTAAAATATAGAACTACGGCTGCACCTCAAAAATCCTATCAAAAAAATATTTTAATGTTGAAAAACTCTCTAATTTACCATCTCAACATTTAGATGTATGAATATGAAGAAAAAAAACAAATTTTTAGTCCAAAAAATAATGCATCTTGCGAGTAGACTGTCCATTTTCAAGATTTTTATATGTTTATAGATTTATTTGATTTTAACCATTTTTGAAGTTTAAAATTTAATAATTAGACATGAAAATAGAATGTAAGACAATCCTAATAAATTTTTACACCATGTTTTATTGAGGTGCCCCTTAATTGAATTGTTTAAGGTTGCAACAAACCACACCATTTAAAAATATATGTCCTAACTAGAATGGCGTTATCGAGATGGAAAAGACCAAAATATGTTTCCAATTAAAACCAATTCGTGGGACCAGAATATGTTTCCAATTAAAATAAAGAATCAACCCAATTGCCACAAAAATCGTCTGATTTACCGAGGGAACAAGATGATTCTATTAGAAACCGGGCCATACGGATCACCAAGTTATTACGATTTATGTTTTTATTATCTTTTTTTTTTCAAAATTTTATTGACCCTTTTTTAACCAAGAGAATCGATAGGGTTGCCGATCCGAACGCATGAAGGTGGGTTCTTGATTGGGCGGTTCGCCGCCCTGGCCGTCCAGGTTTTTTTTGGTTGACACCGCATATAAACCATGCCTTCTTTTAATTTTAAGCTCAGGATACAAAATGCAATAGAGTGAAGTTTGTAAGCCTTAAGATTTTGAATCCTGTGAAGGTACTAATTTTCTATTCCCTCTTCCCACGAAACTAAATTAGATAGATTTCGATGTAATCTCTTCCAGTGACTGTAGAATAAATGAATAAACATATCAGATGAAATCAATCAAATCATATGCATATAAAGGAGAAAGAACGAATAATTGAAAGAAATATTAAGGAACAGAACAAAGAAATAGAAGAACTAGAACCAAATGGATTTCCATCTGATAGTAATATCATCATTTCAATTCAGAGTCTACTTCTTTCCTTCTATTCAATCAACGATTGATCGAAAATTTTAATTAATTGCAATCGGATCCATTGAATTTTGATGTTTGACGATTCAAGCTAATGGATCTATCCGTTTGTATCCATGCGTTGATAAAGAAAAATAGGAGTTTACGAATACGAATAAGATTCAAAGGATACGATCCAATTCTATAAAATCCAATTCTATTCTATATAAGACTAAGCTACGGATGGTTTACATTATGGAAGAGGCACATGCATATGTGATATTAGATACTCATTAGTCATTAGTTATATATGGACTATTTGTTATGAAATGAAATGAAATATTTGGTTCATGTAACAGGAGAAAGATTTCCCATTTTTTGGCCAGAAAAAAAACATATGTGGTCATGAAATAGGGATTAAGTGGAATTGACTGGGGTGGTAGAGTCATGGAAACACTCGCCTATTCCATATTTTGGACCTTAGCTCCACGGAGCAATACGCTACTGTTGAAACATAGAACAATTGAAATCCTACATCAAAACACTATGTATGGATGGTAATTCATATATTCCGCCCCCTCCATAATTCATCTCAAAACATATTTTGGATCCAAAACTTTTAGAGGGAGGAGGAATGTAGGAGAATTTAGAAAATAAAATTAAAAAATTAAAATGGTAATTTTTTATATTTCAACACCATTCATTTTTGTTTTTGGTGGGACCACATAAAGGCTTTATTAATCGGGCGTAGTTTCCATAAGGTTTCAACCTTAAACAATCCAATTAAGGCATGCCTTCAAATTTGATCATAACATATAATTTTGATGTAAAATATTTTTAGGATTGTCTCAAAATCTATTTTTATATCTAATTATAAAATTTTAAATTTTAAAAATAATTAAAATCAAGCAGATTATAAACATATAAATTTTTTGAAAATAGACCGTCTAGATAATGTGTTGCAAGATGCACTATCTCTAAGATTCAAAATCCTTTTTTCTTTATTAATCCTACCTCTCAATGTCGAGATGCTCAATTAGGGGGGCTTTCAACATTAAAACGACCTTTTTTTATGGATTTTTGAGATGCATCTGTAGTTCTACTTTTTAAGGTTGCAACCTTATATAAACCTTTTCCTTATTAATCAATTGTTACTTTTAGACTAAGAGTTCAATGTTATGTCAAGTCAATTTTGTTGTATCCAAAACTTTTAGAGGGAGGAGGAATCTCAACGAGGAGAATTTGGAAAATAAAATTAAAAAATTAAAATGGTAAGTTTTGATATTTCAACACCATTCCTTTTTGTTTTTGGTGGGACCACATAAAGGCTTTATTGACCATTTATTACTTTTTGATTAAGTGGTCAATATTATGCATCATTCAATCAATGGGTAGCGCTTAGAGGGAGAAGGCATCTCAACGAGGAGAATTTGGAAAATAAAATTAAAAAATTAAAATGGTAATTTTTTAAATTTCAACACCATGCCTTTTTGTTTTTGGTGGGACCACATAAAGGCTTTATTAATCAATTATTACTTTTAGACTAAGTGCTCAATGATATGCATCATTCAATGGATAGGCTTTATTAATCAATTATTACTTTTAGACTAAGTGTTCAATGTTATGCATCATTCAATGGATAGCGCATGTATAAGTCAAATTTGTCCCGACCTTTCTCAATACTTCAGGCATAGAAACCGGGCCCAATTTTACCAACTTTACATAATTAAATAAACTGTTTATGGACCCACATCGGTCCACAATCTTTTGGGCCGGGCCCGGTCACATCACATGTTGAAGTCTTCAGGTCAAGCTTGGTTAAATACAGCCCAGCCTGACCTAATTTTTTGGGCCCAGACATAGTTATATGAATATGGTTTGGATCCAGAAACTGCATTTTTGGCTCGGGCTGGACTTAGGCCTATCATACATTGTTTCGGGCCAGACTATAGCCAGGGTTGGCCCAGTCTGAACCAGCCCTATCTGTAAACCTTACTTCCCTCAATATCCAAATAAAACAAACGTTAAAGGACGTGTCTATTCAGATGAATCATAAATGGCTACTTTCTTCAAAAATGGACAGCTTTTAAGTTGATGGACCTCACAATTATAGGGCGGGCTGTGATTTCCATCATCATCAAGATTTTTTGACACCGAAGTTACATTTAGGATAAAATTTGGAATCATGCGTTAATTTGAATGTTTAAGTTTTCAACCTCATGCAAACCACACCCATATTACAATAAGATTTTTATAATACAATAATATTGTAATGTCAGATTAATACTAATATAATATATTATTATTATTATTATTTAATTATTATAATGATGCTAACGTGTTATAATAATATTATTATAATATAGTAATAATGTTTGAATGCACATGTTTTGTGAATGTAATGTTGGGATGAAGGAATCTCACATTGTCAGTATGGATATTTTATTCGAACTTGTTGAAACAAAACTTGGACAAACACTAAAAAAAAAAAAGACTTTGAAACAATTCTTAAATACAATCTAAGCATGACAACCACAACTTCTATTGATTATGTTGTTCACCTGAAAATCCAACTACTCATTTACATAATTTAGTGTTCTAACTCTAGCTTCTCTCTCTCATAATATCTTGAGTTTGAGAGAGAGTGTGAAAGGAAAGTATATATTGTCTACCAAGTTAATATGGAAGGTGTATATTGTAATCAGTATATATGGGAAATATAGGTATAATATATTGTAATTTATGATATGTCTGGGTATAATATAGGTGTATGTGATTTATTTATATTCCTGTTAAATACATTTGTCTATATAAGACAGATTTGTATATTGATATTGATTAATAGATACTGAGAGTCTCTTCAAATAAACCTGAGACTATTCACAGGGTCGACCCAGCCCCAACCCTATGTGACAAATTTAGTTAATGTCATTAAGAACGATCTCTCATCTTCACCACCCATAGTTGGGATATGATATTATTATACATACATAGTGATATATCCTTCTAGGAGCAAAATTAGGTATGTCTGGGGCATGCACATGTAATCAGTCCACTCTCAAAAATTCATCTTAGGGACGGATTTTGGATATAAAATTTTATAAGTATGTCATCTAATCACTAAATAATTATAAATAAATAATAAAAAATTTGAGCCTTAAAAATGTTTTGTTCTGTATTCTTTTTATTGTTCATTTTAATTATTAAAAAACATCATATCCGAACTCTTTTTCAAGCTCCAAATTCATAAGTTTGAAGGCACAATAGATTTACAATGATTGACGATGTGTATCAAATCTTAGATCCCTCAAGTACACGAGTGACCTGGTTCAACAAATACTTCTTCCTTACAATGACTTATTTTCAATATGAAAAACATAGCATCTAGTTTGCCCATAATGACATGGGATAAGGAGGACATGGTTCTCAATGCGAGTGAATGTGATATCTGGTGTTTTCAATACTAATGATTTCTGATTTCTGATTTCTGATTTGGATGGGAATAGGCGGGTACCGAAGTAGTTATGGATTGGTATGGGTGGCGGCCTGAGTCTCTCGTGAAACGATATTTTTTATTTTTTATTTTTCTTTTAAGCTTGTCTAACGTGTTTTTGGGTCCTTTTAAATTTGCAACCCAAACCCTTATTTTTATTATAAATATTTTTTAAATCACCGATTCGAACCGATCCACACCCGATGATCCAAATCACCAATCTAGTGATTCGACATGAATTTGTAGGTGAACAATCTACTCGTTAATACAATGGTGAGATCTATGGCACATCTGACAATTCACAAGATGTTTATATTACAGTATATTTCTCTAGCTCTAGCCACCATTGAGAAAAGTTCACATGTTGACATGGCTCAAGCAGTTTGTGTCTTGGTTCAAAAGACTGTCATCCATTTTCAAGTCTCAAGATTGAGTGACTTATACCTAATTCCTTCCCAAAGAGAACGAAAAATTGTAATGGAAAAGTATCCCATCCACATCAGCGGACAAGTGAAGGGTGCACAAGCACCTTTCCAACTGTTGATGTTTCACAATGCCGTGTTTAATGGCTATAAATTAGTTTCATATTTTATTTTTTATTTGTATTTAAATAATATAATTATTTTCATTTGGGATGTATGGTTATTTTTATAAAAATGACTAAATAATAATTAAAAATAATTTAAATAATAAATAACTAAAATGCTCTTGAATTTATTTTGATCGATATTTTTATCCGAATTAATGTTATTTTTAAATAAAAATAAAATTCATTTTTAGCCATTGGATGATGAGGCTTGTTTGATTTATTCGAGCGTGCTTGTGCACCTTTGAAGTGTCCACATCACGTGGACCCAATACAAAGCCATAAATAAATGAGGTTCTATTTTGATGAGGTCCCCTTCTAAAAATCCATCTCAAATATGGATTTAGGATCTAGAACACATATTAAGTCACTCTATATTAATTCTTTCCCCATATCCATGATTTCATAATTCAAATAATAATGCATATCACTGCAAAGAACTAAATAATAAATGATGTATAATGTAATAAAAGTAAAATAAAATAGAATCACATATTTTTAAGGTTCTAAGTCCCTTTTTTTTTTTTTCTTACCCCTTTTTTTCATTGTTCATAACCATAGCAGTCGAGATTATAGTCATTTTAATTTTGAGTTCCAAATCCATCTATAATATTAGTTTTGAAAGTGATTGCATCCGATCTGAATAGGTGCTCCATTAAAACACCAAAACCCCGTCTCCATAATTTAACATGTTTCACTCATATTAGAGAAGGATGTGATTTCTAGGCCTAGGCCCTGTGAGAAAAAGTAAAACATCACCTCAAAACCTTGTCCAGAAAAAATTTCGGATATGGAAAACTTCTACGATGCCTCTAAAATCTATTTCCATCTCCAATTATAAATTTTATAGTTAAAAAATTGGTGCTTATGTCATGGACCTGTGAACACATGAAAATGAACGGTTTAAGATAATTTGTTACAATATAAAGAGCTTAATTTATTTATTTTTTTTTCACAACCATAATTGTCAAGGTCAAGATGATCGATTTGAAAGTTTTTTTATACCAAAACTGTAATTTTTAATAAATTTGAGGTGTGGCGTTACATTTTGTAATGAGGCCTGGCCTTGTTTTAACCTCTTTCTTCAGAGATTGCGAGATAAAACTTCAATGAAACCTGTAGCAACGTTTCACATGGTGGTCCACATTAGTAGCTAACAAAATATAATTTGTTCACAAATTTATCAAATGGGGGGGTCAACTCATTTAACTTTTTTGGTGCGGTTTCTGTCTATAATTTCATTCATAATTTAGGATCCAAAACCGTTTTTAACTCATCAGATAATGATGAATCTAGGTCGAGAGTGGCTTTCCAATAGCTCATTTGGTCCGAAGGCCCCAGTGAATTTTGGTAAACACCCTTAATATATCACCAAAATACATGATATTTGAACAGAATGCCATAAGACATCTCTACAAATCATGAAAATTTCAGATAATCTGAGGTCTTTAAGGTTACCTGCAAATTGAATTTCTACAGGCTAGAGATGCAGTCTGTGGTAAATAGCAGTATCAGAACACCCCTACCCTGTACTAAATTGAATGAAATTTGAACCATAGGTTAACGAGACCCTACAGATAAAAATGAGAACCAAGGTCAATTTGGTTGAGTCCCTTAGGGCACATTTGATTGGCACGTAAATTTTTCTCTAGTCAAAATATTTACATATGCAAGCACTTTTGCAGGAAAAACTTCTGTAAACTTCTTTTCACTACGTTTGTTAACATGTTTAAAAAAGCACGCTGTAGTAAATTACACACGTTTAGTAACTTGTTTCACTTGTATTGTAAATTACAGAAACAAAATAACTTAAATTACACAATTTTGATACAATTTTAGTTTCTTTCAAGTTGACAGAGTGTCTCTCAAAGGACGGCCTTTGGTTTCTAGAGGGAAAAATATTACAGCAATACCTGAGAGAAATATCACAACTTCGAACAAAATGACCGCAAATGTTTGTTGGCAACTATGCACCAAACCAACTGCAACCACTGGACACACCATCCCTCCAATTCTTCCCACCGAGCTCGCGGTTCCAAAACCTGTTGTCCTTATTGAGGTTGGGTATACCTGTACAAATCAAACAACACAACATCATCATTATCATCATAGCCTTTTCCCAATACATGTCGACATTTAATATGAGATAGATATAGAGAATTGATGCACTTAGATATAGAGAAGGGCTGCACTTCTACATAGATATAGAGAAGGGCTGCACTTCTACATATGAGAGAGAGACCTACCACAAATTTGCCACCATATTTGGATCAAAAATGAAAGTTTTTCTATTATATCACAACAGAACAGGTGGGATAAAGGATCCATTCACAATCATCATACATGAACAGATGTAACTGAACAACATTTCATGAAGCAAAACCTACCAAATGAATATATATCAGTCATACAGCAAAAGGGAAACCCCTTTCACATAATAATTAAATAAACCTTGAAAAAGTATCCAAGATTCTGAATACCAACCTCTGGAGCATAGATATACACAATTGTAAAAGTTCCAGTAATGCATATGCGAGCCCCAAAGAGAAGAATTGTGGTCAATGTATCAGGCTGTGAGACTACTAAAGGTAGAAGAAAAATGCAACACAAGAAAAACAAGGCAGACATGGAAAACTTGCGGCCGACACAGTCCACCATCACCGCCGATAACAAAAGCCCTGGAATCTCTGCAAAATTAATAAAGTAAGGGAATCAGATTATTGACATATAGTTCAATAAAAAAATTAATACAATGCCAAATTCACTGCTTAATTAAAGGCAGTGTGTCAGAGACTCGCCTCGGCCAGTGGATCGCCCCCTGGCCGAGTCCAGTACAGGTCTTTTGGCCCTAGGAAAAAAAGGGTGGAAATTTACAAAAATAAAAAATTGTAGTAAAAGTAATTTGAAACGTAAAATAACTTTTAAAAGTTAAAACAGGCTTACAAATTTTGAGAAAAAATGGATTTAATAGAAATACCTAATTAGAAATTGGGACATTTAAAAAAAATCAAAAAAAGAGAAAATATAAAAATATTGATTATGGTAAATCGCATTCACCAATCTTCGCCAAATACATCCAAATCGTATGCAAAAAGATTGTAAAACAATCCAACATTTTTTTAATTTTTCTAAGAATTTTTTTTATTTTATTTTTATGTCCCCTAGTTGTACACCCAACGTGGAGAAACTTGGGTTCGCACAAGACATGGCACACTGAATTAAGGCATGAAAGTTGGTTTAGTCCTCAGCCAAATCAACTTGGTAAGACTTGACCAAATAAGGTGTCTGGCAAAGACTTATCAAATGAATTAATAAAATAAGGGCTAGTTTGGAACTTGCTGTCTATCACTAATAATTCACAGTATCAATAAAATCAATCCTAATAATAATTATTTATTGTTTGCCGGTGTATCTGAGATAAACTTATAGGCAGTTTTGCGTACAAGTTTATCCTTTTGAAAAGTTGTCATTACTTTATTCAAAGCAATTTGCTGAAAATCACATGTTTTTTGCCAGAAATAGCTAAAAATAGCTGAAAATTACTGAAAAGGTTAAATAATTAAATAATATTATACATTAATACAAGATACATACCAAACAGATAACAACGTAATATCATCCAGAGAGTATTTTTAGTTATGATAGTGAATCACAGATAAATTTAATGGTCATCCAACCAGACCCTAAGACTCGAATATAATCTTTGAAAAAAAACAAAAAGGACCAAGCTAGAGACCACGATAAGTCCACTTAAGTGAGTGTATACTATAATCCAAAGGACCATGGAAAACCACAGTCAGTAGGCGTTATCACTATCTCGTAAATGGAGGATGGCAATGGCGATGAAGTGGAATCTTAATCAAAAAAAAAAAATTGGAACACATAATCAAGCCATGTACTGTTCTGGGGATTTCCCCTCTCCCTCCACCTTCCATCATGTCAATGAACAGATAACCCCATTAGGCTATGGTTTATGTATTCCATTGGATTGTAGACTAATAGTTGCTGTCCCTTCAAGTAATGCTATTTTAAGAAGGGAAATCCATGGAATCTCAGCATAGGAATAGACTATAATAAAATAAAATTACCTGCACAACTTGTAATAAGAACATTCTTGTAAAGATTAACATGTGCAATGACCTTTGATTGCAATTTTGTAGATGTACATGCCCTGTTCCCATTGCTTAACTCAGACGTTAACAAAATGAGGCCATAATAGGAAAATGCATTTCCAAAGAAGACCAGCCAAAGCAAGACTGTCGATTTGATTAATTTTGGTGAGAAAAGCATAAAAAAGGAAGCAAAGGCCCCCATTTTATCCACTATTTGCTTTGTGACTCTGGTCTCTGGTCTCGTGGCAGGGAGAAAGTGTGAGTCTTCCATTAGCAAGCATTTCTCATCAAGATCATCGGATATAAGTGTGCCATGTGGCAGTGGCTTTTCATTAATTCGAGAAATTTTCTCTAAGACTTGAAGTGAGTCATTTGTTCTTCCATTGAGACAAAGAAATCTTGGGGATTCTGGTACAAGTGTGTAAAATAAGAGGAGAACAAATGAAGGTATTGAAGACAATGCAAGAAGCCACCTCCAGCCCAATATCGGCATGACAGCCTGCATTGAGAAACATGACATAACGTTAAATGGTTGTTACGGACAAGTTTGTATAAATTAACAATTCATTTCCTAGAAAAGCTTTTCCTCTCATCAAGTTTTTGTACCCCAATTATAAGAAGTTCATCTCCAAAACAGATTTATATTTGAAACAGTGATAAAAAAGTGGGTGCTTGGGCTTGGACACTTGGAAACGGCAGTATGCCAGGTCTGGATGAAAGACACCGAAACTCGAGCGAGTCTCCCAGACCCTCTATGTATTTTTTCTAGAGACTTGACTGAGTTGGTGCCTCGGCTCAGGACTCCGTTGAGGCCAACCCCGATCCCAGGCCTCTCTTCATTGATTTAAAGTTTCAAAGTTCAACAAGGATCGAAATATCATATTACAAATATTTTCTTCCCAAACCACACACACATCATTGGTATCTTAAAATGTCACGAGAAGTACAAAAGTTAAGACATTTCAGTCCCACTTCAGAGTAGCATGACATAGCAACCAAATTTGATTGGAAAAGTAATGTTAGCAAAAACTGTTGATAATGCAGTCATACCCATGCAAGAGACGCTTCCAATATTGTGCCAAGGGTCCAGAAGACTGAAAAGACAACCATCCAGGTGCCCCTGTTTGGTGCAGGAATAAACTCCAAAAACCATGATGAAAGCACTGGACCACCTCCCAATCCAACTCCAACCACACAGCGAATAATAATCAGTGAGACATAATTCGGGGAAAATGAACTTAAAAGACCAGCCCCACCTGTAACTAGCGCCGTAGTAAAAAATCCCACCCTAAAGGATAAATCAAAACATATAAAAATGGATCATTTAGTGATTCAAACAAGGTATACTTGATATTGTTCTGCATCAAAATAACTACAGAACAAACGAAGCAGCAAAGCTCTATATTATGCTGTAATATGCTCTCAATCCAATTTAGAACAAAAACAAATGAGCATTATCTTTTTGCTGCCAGCAATGACAAAACACAAACAATGGACAAAAGTAGCCACATTGACAAGAAATATGATTCTCGACAAAGAAAAAGCAGAAGAACAAATTAACATCATTCATTGAAAGGATTCTGTGGCCTAGCTAAGTTACAATTAGAAATAAAAACAGTCACGGTACAAATGCACTACTCCTGAAGTAATATTGATTGTAGACTCCACTATACATCTGAACTCTAATGTGGCCCTAATGTTAGTTAGTACATTGAGCTCTTATTACATGATTCCTCAACCATCAGAGTGATATCTTCGATTACAAGCATTGCAATCACATTAAACAAGTACACATAACAGATGAACTTGAACCACGTTAATGTCAAGTGGAATAGTTTTATATTCAAGCAAACAATATCGAATTGAATTCAGATAACCGAGGACGACCAAAATAAAGTGCAAAAGATAAAATCAAAACCACATCTACCTTCGTCCATAGGTATCAGATACAATGCCCCAAGTGTATGCCCCAAATAGCATGCCAACAAAAACCACACTCGTGATCATGCTTTCTTCACGAGAAGAAAGGTTCCACTCTAACTGGACTGCTGGTCCTACAAAAGAGAGAAGCATCACTTCCATGGCCTCTGCTACATACGCCATTCCAGCATAAGCAAGCATGAGGCCTTGGAATTTCCCAAACCCAAGCGATAAAAGTGCCTCATCCACTGAATATTTTGGGGTGCCATCTCCCATCTTCATATACAAAACAAACAAAGATGAGAAACCAACATCAAGACGCTCATTTTAACATCTCATACATAACATTCAGTTCTCCAAAAGCAAGTCAGATTTACATGACTTTACGTTATAGAATAGACATAGAATGCTCTTAAACAACGCAAAAGAAAAAAAAAACAAATGATTATAGCAAGGTTAGTTTTCTCATTAGCAGTAATCGACGGCTCTGCTTGAGGATCCCCTCGACCCCAAATTCAATGATAGGAAGGGGAAGTGCCCACGATTTTCACGCGTGCAAAAACTCCACATGATCACTTCCCTCATAGTGATTTACAATTGACGGAAAGATAAAATCCAGTTTCTTGAGAAGGACTTTTCTATTTCATGAGGTTTCAAACCACATCGAATAACTAGAGTCTGAAACTAGAAACATGAATTGATTTCTATCATCTAAAAATAAATCCACAAGGGTATGTGATATTGTGGAATGTGATCAACAAGCATGAGATACAAGGACTACCACTGCGATGCACAGCTCCAAATCTGCCAAGCTGTTAATTGGCGCAACATAACGTCAAGGTTAAAATTTTATTCAAATTCAAAGCAATTTTGGCTTATGGCACCTTTTATTAAGTTTGTAGTACAAAAATAAGCCCTAATTTTCATTTTCTCAATACAGTATTCTTCATCCAATTATCGATGATATTCAGTCCAAACAGAAATTTCAAATGTAACTACCATCCCACACCATTCTAGATAACTTACCAATACAACATGTCATATTACCTCTGTTCAAAGAGAAAAGATCGAAGGAAACAAAATCCTAAAAGCGATTTCATTCAAATAGGTATAAAAACCTAACATAGCAATAAGGAATACACGATCCATAAAACCAGTCGGAAATACCTCTGAATGTGCTTGATGTATGAAATTGTCTGGGAGTGACACAAAAGAGACCACAACATGGGATTGTGAATCTTTATATCAAATCGAAAGGGAATGTCTCCTTCCACGTAGGAATCATAAATTAATATCCCTTTATGTTTCTATGTAGTCTGAAACTCCAATGGATCAAATAAACAGAAACAATTACAACTTGCTGTTCATTTTTCAAAAACAAAAAATGAAGACACGAGGATCCCATGAATTGATAAGCCACTCTGTGTACAAATACAATAGCAAATGCTGAGAACAACGATTTAGACATAAAAAAAAGTTGTCCTTGTAAGTTTATGAGTGGTTAGTCTAAATATTCTAGATGAAAATCAATAACCACCTCAAATTTTTTACATAATTTAATTAAAAAAATCAGACCCAATATTCAAACTAATAAGATATATGAATCTCAGTACCATACGAAATAAGAATTTTTAAGATTGGAAAAAAAAAAAACAAAAACTAAAAGGTATAAAGTGGAGGCAAGAGGAATAAAGCATGCCAATATTAAATTTTTAAACAAACAGCAAGGAGAATTTAACAAAACCATGATACTAAAATAAATAAGAAATAGGCAAATTTTCAAATGAAAACAGGCTAAATATGCGGGAAATTAAAATGTGACCAAATTAATAAGTAAAATGACATAATTGACCGCCAAGGAATTACTTTATGCTATTCACGTAAAAATTTTAAACTATAATACATTGAAATTTGTAATTTATTTCATAAACTTTCTAATGCCCAAATCACATATAACATGACTTCATTCTTGTTGGGTTTGGTGATTACTAAAACACCATACCCATATTTTATTCTAAAGATTAGGGTATTAAGAGAAATAGAAAATTGACTTTATTGAGAAGCATCTTTATAAGAGAGTAATGCCCATCTTTTGAGGGTCATCCCTTTAGGAGTTATAGGAATGGATCTACAATACGAAGATGGGTCCTCAAGAGTGACATGACCCTCAGAGAGGAGCGGTGTTCCCATAAGTTTTGGGTTGGTTGACTTCTACTTCTAGAGAGAAAAAATCTCTATATTGCTATTGAGCTTATCTTTCCGATACTAGTATTGCGGTAGAAAAGAAGATGTTGATCGATGGTAGTGCTCGGTCTAGAGAGCGGGTTTAAAATGGAAGATCGATAATGGTTTTTTACCGATGTTTAAAGATAAATATTATCTCTTGTAACCTAAAACTGTAATCTTCATTGTGATAGTGGATTTCTAGTTACGAAGGCCATGGATATAGCCCTACGGGGTGAACCATATAAATCGTGTCTTGTGTGTTATTGTGGTGTGTTTTTATATTTGCTTTATTTTTCACACTGGATTTATGTTGTATTCATCAGCTTCACATTTAGTTAATAATCATGTACATGATCTTGGGTGGGCTCCTAGTGTTTGGATTCTCGTTTCCACAAGGGATTCCTGAGAACCCTACAATCCTTACAAGTAAATTACGAAATGATACAAAGACTTTGGCGGCTAATGAAATCACTCCGTAACTCTCGGCAAAAATATCATACAAATTACCATAGACAATAACAAAAAAACAATACGAAAAAAAAAATTCCTCCCAAATAACATATTTATCAAAGGAAACACGCAAACTAAAACTGAGTATTAGAGAACCTCTGTCATAAACTCATATAAATTTAGGTTTAGAGATAGAACGATGGAAGAAGATGGGGTTAATTAAGTTTAACATGTTTCTCAAAAAAAATAAAAAAAATAGAGATTTAATTAATTCACTTTGAGCTTTGAAGCTGGATTTAAAGACTTGGGGGTCAAATAATTTTGATGAAGAGGTAGAAGGGGAAAAGATTAGGGTTTGTAAGCTCTCAAACAAAAGGGTGAAGGGTCAAAGTTTATGGTGATAAGCTCTCCATTGTCACAGGGCGCATGGAGAGCGGCTCAACCTTTCAGGGGCTTTTTCGAAATAAAAATCCAACTAAACAAAGATAATGTTATGGCCACCGTATTTTCCAGTAATCCACTCAATGCTTTTTAAATGTGCATTAGCTGATCAAAGTGGTCTTAATAAAAGTAAAGAAGACTACGTCGGTTTAGGGCCCATTTTTGTCATCTTTCAGTTTTTAAAGGTTGTGTATCTCAACTTTAGACTTTAGAGTTTAGACCAGTGTTCAAAACAACGTATCGGGCCGGTTAGTCGGTCCTCGCTCGATCCGATTAGTCCGGCCGATTCCGATTAGATTGGCTAATTAGTGCTCTGATTTTTTTTAACAAATTTAATTTTAACAAAAAAGCCCATAACAGTAAAAAAATCCCAAAAAAATCTCAAAAAAATTATAAAAAATGTTTAAAATTTACATATATCATTTTTAATATTGCCACATAAAAAAACAAAAAAGTAAATATCAATATATATTAAATATACATTAATATTATGCATAATATGTAATCAATTTATACTATATAATATAAATTACATTAATAAAATAAATATAAAAATATAATATAATATTATATAATATTATAAAATAGTATAATATATCAACTCAATACCATGTTTTTTTTTGGGTATTTTTTAATTCAATTAAAAATAGGGAAATTATAGGATGAGATCATTTACCTTTTATTCAAAGTGATCATAATAATCTTGACCATTGGATGTAATGTTGGGTGGGTGCAATTATTCCATTGACCAAGCTCAAACTTCAAAATAAGTTTTTTCGAATATTGTGATACATCCAAGCCATCAAATTTCACATCAAATGGTAGTAAGAGATTGTGACCACCTTGTATAAAAAGTAAATGGTCTCATTGCATACAATCCCTTAAAAATATAGGTAAAATATAAAATTGTTAGTTTCTTTGTGACAATTTTGATAAATTTTCATCTCACTCTCTCATAACTGTCTATGTGCCCCTCGAGGGTTGGTGGTGTAAATATTAGATTAAAGATCAAATTAGATGAACATTCGAATAAATTTTATATCCTTCGAGTTGAGGGACTTACGGGCTTGACACCTTGTCGTGCCAACTAACTCTAGTGAATTTGAGTCTACTCGCCCAAGGTGGCAAACCCTGCAATTAGCAAATACAAAACTTGAAAATTTTGTTTTATGCGGGCTGAACCGTATTTCTACAATATGCCTTCCAGATGTATAAAGCATCCATCTTAAAGATGGACGCAAATAGGTGATCCATCTAAAAACAATTGTAATTAACGGTCCAAATATTTTATTAATATAATTATTATTTATAGTTTTCAATATATTTTTTTTGCATATTTATGATCTCCATGTTAAAAGATTATATATTATCTAAAAATTAGGATCAAATTATGTTTAAAAATATATCTATTACTAAGCTCGTATTTCAACAATATGTGGGCTGGGTGCATAGAAACTGTGTCAAAAAATTTATAATAATATATAAAGTTTTAAGTAGAAAAATAAAAGAACATGAAAGTGAAAAAAAAGAGACAAACATATAAAAAATATCATAAGGGCAGCTTTGCAGACTCTAACACTATGGCAGTGCACTTATCGGCCGATTGTTAGAACAAATCGTCGATTAGTGTATTAATCGGCTGATTAGTGTATTGAGCATACATGACCGTTGGAATCGGGCCAGATCGAGATCGACTAGCGACCGATCCCCAAGTTAGTTTGCCGATTTTTTTAAAATCGGCCGATCTTACACTAGTTTAGACTAAGAAAAGTTGGATTGAAGTGGACGTTGAGCAAAGTTCTTAAATTTCACCTGATATGAATAATTTCGAGTTTTCATAGCATCTTTTTTCAAGATTTAGACGTATAAGATTTACATTACTATTTTAAAAAGATCTATTTGGACTCTAGATCGAAAATTCACGGGAAGAGAGCAGGTTCCCAATTAAAACCAAGAATCAGGCCGATTGCCACAAAATCGTCCGGGTCACTAAGGGATCTAGGGAACGGGATGATTTTATCAGAGAATTAGGCCATTTGGATCACCGAGTTATGGTTATTTATCTTTTTTATCATAAATCATTTGTTTCTTTTTTTTCAATTTTTTATTGACCTATTTTCCACTAAGAACAACAATCAGGTCACCGATCCGAATCGACGACATGTCGATCAGGGTCCACTCCTAATTGGCCGGTTCGCCCTTCTGGTCCGAGTTTTATAATACTGGTTGACACCGCATATGAGCATTGTCTTTTAATAGGGAGAAATTTGTACGAGGTGTCCACCTTAAATGCTAAGATTTTGAATCTTGTTAAGTTATTCATTTATTCCGCACCCTCCAAAATTCATCTCAAAACATAGCGCGGGGAAGGGGGACCACAAGGGTAATTTGGAATATGAACGATTCATTTTTGTTTTTGAAAAATAATTTGGAAAAAGAATCTGAACGAGGATAATTTGGAAAAAAAAATAAAAAATTCAGATGGTAAATTGTCTTATTTCAACACCACTCCTTTTTGTTTTTGGTGGGACCGCAAAGGACTTGATCAATTGTTACTTTTAGACGAAGTGTATACTGTTTTACACAATTCAATGGATACTGCATATCAAATTTGTCCCCACCTTTTTCAACACTCACGCATAGAAATTTGGCCCTATTTACCAACTCCAGATGATTACAGAATAAATAAACTGTTTGTAGGCCCAGGTCGGTCCACAACCTCTCGAGCCGGGCCCGCTTTGGGTCACATGTTGAGGTTGGCAGGTTGAGGTTGGTTAAATACGGCCCAGCCCAACCTAATTTTTTGGGCTCATGCATAGTTATATGAATATGGGTTGGACAGAAAATTGCATTTTTCTGCCCGCGATGGGCTAGCATTGTTTCAGGCCGGACTATAGCCAGGGTTGGCCCAGCTTGAACCCAACCCTATTTTCAAACCTGGCCGCCCTCAATATCAAAATAAATCAAGGATAAAGTTTTATAAGGTTGCAATATTAAACAATCCAATTAAAGCGCACCTCCAAATTTGATCATAAATTGTAATTAGATGAATCATGGCTAATGGCTACTTTCTTAAAAATGCAAAGCTTTTACGTTCAAGATTTTTTTACACCAAAGTTACAATTGAGATAAAAATTGGAGGCATGCGTTAATTTGATTGTTTAAGGTTGCAACCAAACCACACCCATATTATTATAAGATTATTATAATTTAATAATATTATAATATCGTATCAATACTAATATGATAATATTGTATTATTATTTAATTATTATAATATATAATAAAAAATAATATTTAATGATTATAATATATAATAAAAGTAATATATAATTATTATATATTATAATAATGATGCTATTAAGTTATAATAATATTGTTGTGATATGATAAAACTACAATATATTATTCATCTCATCATTATAGCATTTTTCTAATTAATTAGGGTCGGCCACACGAATCATGATCCTCCATTCTGTTCTATTAAGGGTCATACTCTCATTGAGACCATAAGTTTATATATCTTTTCAAATTATTTTAATTCACATCATTTTGGGCCTACCTTATGCCATTTTCAATCTTTCCACTTGAACTAACTCGC